TAACAATGCACCAAAGTAAAAGTGGCACATCTGCTCCCTGCCCTAGAGAGCACACCTGGAGAGGGGCTTAGGGGCCTGGAGGTGCTTCCACTGTGGTCCTGCACTCTCAGGTGTGGTCATGACTGAGCCCCCTCAACTTGGCAAAGGTGCTGGACCCTGGGCATATTTCCCCTGGGGTCACTGGGCCCTGGCTTAGCTTGCCCAGGGTGGGGAGCAGAGGTTTTGCCCCCAGTCGGTGGCCCCCAGGAGGGTGGTGGGGCCCTGGGAGGACAGCTGTGGGGTGGGAAGCCCATCATGGATGTGAGGTTGGTCTCTGTGTCCATGGCCATATGCTGCAGCAGTGATGCTGGATCCAGCCCTGCTGCTGTCACCAGGGGAGAGGCTGCCCAGGTGCAGGATGGGTTTGGGTGAGCAGCAGCCATCAGGCCTCCCTTGCCAGGTGAGGACGGGGCTGGTGGCTTGTCATCTCCTGAGGGTGCACAAGAGATCTCTCTTCCCAGGGTGATACTGCTACTGGGGTGCCAGTGGCCTGACTGGCTGCCTGGGCCAGGGCAGCCCCAGCTCTGCTGGCAGGGCTTGTCCTGGAGAGGGGCATCCCCACAGCCAGGGCAGGGAGGGAACCCCCAAGAGGGAACACCCTATGTCCCTACAGTGCTGGAGCAAAGGTTCTGGTGAATAAGTGTTTGGGTTTTTTCCTCACTTTAAGTTAAGTTCGTTTAAGTCTGCTCAATAATTAACTCTAATTCACAGCCCTCTGTGCACCCTCTGTGCTTTCCCAGGGTCATGCAGCAGGTGCTGGGCTGTGCTGTGACACCAGGGGTTCCATCACCACTGTGCTCGGGCGCGGTGTCGGCAGTGGAGTGGCACAAACCATCACGGCAGTGACAGCTCGTGCAGAGAGGTGCTGAAGGGTTCTGGGGCATGTAGCTGGGCAAGGGGCACTTTGGTGGCACCGACACGCTGGGCTGGCAGGGACAGGTCGGGCAATGGCTGCCAAGTGGAGCCCACCTGATGTCCCCTGTCCCAGCACCATCAGGCCCTGGGCAGGTCTCCCACACATTTATTTTTAAAGCTGGCTTTTTTGGGGCACAGTTTTTGTCCCTTCTATCTTCTTTTACCAGACCAGTGACTTTAGCAGGAGCCAATTCTTCCCAGACAAGCCTGCTGGCTACAAAAGGGGTCAGGAAGGAGCCTTACTGGGCTCATCCTTACCCACTCCAGTGGCATTGCCTGTGGCCAAGACTTTCCCACGTTGTGCCACGTAGCGGCTGATGAGTCACCATGGAGCAATTACCTCACCTGATGCTGACGCCAGCCCTGTCCTCAGCCATGTTTCACTTTCCTTCTCGCACATGGAACTTCCGAACTTCCCACGTACCTGGGATTTCTTGGTCCAAGCAAGTTCAAGTGGCTCCAGCCTGCTGGGCTGTGTGAATCCAAGGGGGTTCCTCCATCACCCTCTGTGCCGCTCTCCTGGCACAGAGCTGTCTGCAGCCGGGGCTGGAGCCATGGCTGTGGTAGGTCCCCAGTGTCCTGCAGACCCTGCTAAGGCACTGTGTGGTGTCCCCAGCCCATGCTGGCCTTGGGGGACCCTCTGCTGCCATGGCAGGAGCTGCCAGTGGCATGGTTTGGAGGAGCCGTGGTGAATTTAGCCAGGCCTTGCTGGCTGGACTGTGATGTGGTGGAGCACGGCATCACCATCACCGTGTGAGACGCATGCCAAGGCCTAGCATGGCAAGACCACATCCCATGGGGAAAAATCCCTTGATTCTGTTCAGCCAGGCACCTGGGGGTTCAGCTATGGCTGCAGGTGAGTGTGGCACAACTACCTGAGCAAGGCACCCAGGAGAGATCCTCACCCCTCTATGCCATCCACCCTGAGGGCCAGGGGCCATGCTCATGGCCTGGCTTCATCCTCCAGCTTTCACTTTTCTTCGGTGCCTCTGAATTTCCTTTTGCGTGTGTGAAGACACGAGGTTTCGCTTTACTTCTCCAAACAGAAATGACACCTGGGACATAAAAGCCACAGTGATGGGAAACAGGAGCCAAAGCTGGGTCCCACGGGGATGTGATGCTGCTGTGACCAGATGGGTGACCCAAGAGTGTCTCGGCAGGGATCTGTGGTGTGGGACAGTGGTTCATGGTGGATCACCCCTCTCTCATTGGGGGACACATTTCTTTTTTACAACTGCTGGGATTTTCTGCTGAGGTGCTATCTATTCCAGCTGAGCTGTGCCTCACTTGAGCGACATACGTGACATTATTTATGCTGGTTTGGGCTTTAATTTCAAAGCTATATCAATCATGGACTTTGTTGCATTGAATAAAAATTATTCTTCTAAGTCTGTGGTTTTCTTTAATGGGAGAGAAGGAAATGCAGAGCTGTTGTCCTGTTTACTGAGAGGGCAGGCAAAGGAGCCAAGGCCAGGGCTCAGGCTTTTAATTACTGACCTCACCCACCCTGCTGCCAGGGGGGAGGCTGGCACGGGAGCCTGGTCGTGTGGCCGTATCTGTGGCTGGAAAACCTGTGCCCACCATGCTTTTACCACTGTCTTTTGCTGTCCTGGCTCTTCTCCAAGCTGTATCTGCATCCAGCTTGGTCAAGGTGGAAATAGTTGCTGTCCCATCCATGCTGCCCTCTCCTCCTCTTTATTTCCATCATGGTTTTCCAGGAAAGACCTGAGTAATCTGAGTTGCTGCTAGAGAAGAGGAAGGGCTCAAGAAGGGCTGGATGGACCTTGTGAGTCAACAGCTGGTCCTGGTCTGCCTCTTCAGAAATTATCTGGACAATGAGGCAGAGGGTACCCTGGGGGTACCAAGTTTTGTGGTGACACCAAACTGGGACAAGTGGATGACACAGCAGGGAGTCATGCTGCTGTCCACAGGGACCTTGACAAGCTGGAGAAATGGGCTGATGGAACCTCCTGAAGTTCAACCGGGGAAAAGGCTAAGTCCTGCACCTGAGGAGGAACAGCCCCAGGCACCAGGACGTGCTGGGGGCTGCCCAGATAGAAACCAGCGTGGCAGAAAAGGACCTGGGGTCCTGGTGGGCATCAGGTTGAACATGAGCCAGAAACATGTCCTTGTGGCAAAGAAGTGAATGGTATCTGGGGCTGCACTGGGAGCAGTGTTTCCAGCAGGCTTAGGGAGGTGATCCTTCCCTTCTACACACCCCTGGAGTGCTGCGTCCAGGTTTGGGCTCCCCAGGGAGAGAGAGATGTGGCAGACACTGGATAGAGTCGAATCAATGTCATGAAGATGATGGACAGGAACATCTCTCCTGTGAGGAAAGGCTAAGAAAGGAGGCTTAGGGACTCTTGGTGGTTCCTACTGACAGCATAGCAGCAAAAAGCTACAACTTGAAACATGTGAAAGTGCATCCAAACACAAAAGAACACTCACAGAGAGGCTGTGGAGTCGCCACTCCATCCTTTGAGATATTTAAAACTGGACACAGTCCTGGGCAACCCACACTGGCTGACCTTGCCAGAGCAAGGATTGCACTGGATGATGTCCAGAGATCCCAGTCCATCTCCATGACCACATCCATGCCACTCTGCTCACCCATAGGTGTATCTTTCCACGGGCTTGCTCAAGAACTTTTCTTGTTCTCTTGGCCTCTTTGAAATCACAAGTTTATTTCCAAATATGAACGCTAAAAATCAAGTCCTTCTGGAGCAGTGTTTTCCTGTGTATGGCCACCACACGAGACACTGCAAAGTGCATTTATGCCTGTTGCTGCCTTACTGTCTTGGCTTTTTAGATCCAGGTATTGCCCTAATTTTCTGTATTTAATGCTTGATGAACACATGAAACTAAAAGCCCAGCAGCGATCGCAGGAGGTTACCTGGAGAGAAGGACAGTTGGCTGAATGGGGGCACCATTCCCGCTGTCACTGGAGGGATGTCAATACACCACATTTGTGTTTCCAGGCTGAACAGGGAGGGAAACCCAGCTAACCCCAGCAGCTTGTAGGGTGGCAGCCCTGCTCATTTCCGGCAGCCTCCCTTCACAACTCTGTATCCCACTTGGAAAATGTTAGGTGGAAGTGCTTCTGCTTTCACCCTTTTCCCTGCTTTGGTGGTGAGACTGGTCCCCCAGGATAACACAGACATAGAGCTCATGCCTGTAGCCTGCGCCGTGCAGCACCTGCTCCCTGCTGCTGCTTTCCCCCCCTCCCTGCCATGGCCCTTTCTATAGGGAAACCGAGGCATGGACTCCTGCTGCCACTCAGGAGGCACTGTAACCCTCCCGGCCACCCCGAGTCTGCTGTCCCCGTGGGGCTGCGTGCCTGGAGTCTCCCGCAGCTCTCTGTGTGGGGCGGGGCTGGGTCGTGCCCGGTGTCCCCGCACTTGCCAGCACCTCTGTGCCACTCGGTGTGGCAGCGGCGTCCCCCCACTCAGCCCCCTCGGAGGGCGTGTGCTGGAGGCAGCCCGAGCATCCCTCATCGCCGGTGCGCTCGCCCTGTCGAGGAGGAGCAGGCGGCAGGGCTGGAGGCAGCAGCGCAAGTAACGGAGGCGGGATTCCCGCCGCAGCTTTCGCTTTCCTGTTTCCAGAACTGCCAGTCCGTGGATTTTCCTGCCAACGTGAAAGCAATCACACCGGGCAGGTAGAATAAAAAGCCGGGGAGATGGGGCAGCAAGGCACCCACAGTCAACAGAGCAAAGCAAGGGAAGAAGCTCCCCCGGACAGCCCAGCAGCTCCACAGCTGAGAGAGACACCTGTGGCACCTGTCAGGCACCTCTGCATCAGGAGTTTAGCAAGTCCTGCCCGGAGTCCTCCGGTTCATCCTCTCTGGCATCTTGCTCCACAGCCTCCTCACCTCATCGTAACCCACTGCTCACCATCGAGCTCTTGTCAACAAAATGCTGTGTCTCCGCCTCACCCCACTGCTTGTGCTGGTGCTGGGGGTCAGCCTGGGGGCTGCCTTCCCCCACAACACCCTGAGGAAGGGCTGCAGCCTGTTCAGGTACAAGCAAGTCACGTCACCTAAGGCGGCTATGAAGAAGATGCAGAAGGAGTTTGTGAGTATCTTTGGCAATGGGGGCTGTGGGCTGGGGAGGGGAGCAAGGCAGAGGAGATGCTGAATTTGAGACCTGAGTGACAAAGTGGATGTTTTCTGCAGCAGTCTGGGGAGGAGGAGGATGTTTTTCACGGGAGTTTGGGGACATGAAGGATGCTGGGCCAAATTTCATCCTAGTTTCAAACCACATGGCTGGCGGGGTTGCACAACATCGCCAGAAGTCACAATGACAGTTGTTCAGTCTCTCTCTTGGTTTGTGCCTGCAGCGCAACATCAGGCAGCCGGGCCACAACTGCGACACCTCGCTCTTGGATCGGAAGTGGATGTCGGCAGACCTGTCGGTAAGAGCAAGGTGATGCTGTGACAAGAGGGCACAGCTCTCCTCTCAGCCAGTCCCACCCTCACCCGCACCCCAGGCAGGTCTTCGAGACTCCCCTCCTCCAGCCCTTGCTCTTTGGGTCCCTAACCACACACTCCTGCCACAGGTGCCCGACCGAGTGGTGCTGGTGGAAGCCGAGCTGAACTTCACCATCACGATGCTGCAGCTCTCCACCCATCCCGGCTTCACCAAGACACGCAAGCAGCCCCTGGACTTCCTTGCCCGAGCCTGGAAGGATCTGCAGGGCTGTGTGAGTGCCCCCCGAGTCCCCCACCCCATGCCAGCTCCGTGGCCCTGGCGTTGTCGGCAGCGCCGCAGGGCATCGCTGGTCCTTATCCCGCCACTTCCCTTGCAGGTGGCTCCCTCGCATCAGCCCTCTGGGGAACTGAGCCAGTGGCTGCAGAACCTGCAGGAGGCCATGGAAAAGGTAAGTCGGGTCAGCAGGGCCAGGGGGTCTCGGGGTGTCAGTGACCGCACGGCTGCACCCTGACCCCATTGGTAACCCAGGCCCTGTCCCTGCCGCACGAGAACGCCGGCTGCCTGGAGGACTACGCTGTCCGCCACGTCTTTGAAGTGCTGGAAGACCTGAAATGTGCTGCCCTCCAGGAGGAATGCTCTTAGCCCCCGCCACCGGCACCAAAGGATGCCCTGAGGACCGGGAAAAACAACTGCTATTGCATCGCTGGACTGTACTTAAGCCTTTTTCTTACTCATGTGAGCTCAGGGAACAATTTTTTTTCACAGTCTTTTAAGTTATTGGGGTTTATTGTGTACTTATAAATGGCTCAGGAGGAGTTGAAGAAATGCCCCTCCTGAAAGAATGGCAATGAATGTTATTTATTGGATATCTTTATTTTGCTAGTTTTCAAAATGTTTTTAAGGAAATCTATTTTTTCACCTGCTATTTATTACAGAGTATATTATGCATATTTTTCTGTATAAATTATTTTCTTATATGCCATTTAATAAAATAGATACTATAAGCAGACATGGTGCCATCACATTTTTTACTATGCTTTGCTGTAATACAACAGCAGAGGTATTGCACACACATCCTTGCAAGGACACTGTCCAAATGAAACCTCATTCCATTTAATTTGGGGACAGGGAGGGAATAAGGCCTGGATGTTGGGCTCTTTGGGGAGCTTTAGTAGATTTTATCACCTGGCCATGCTCCATCTGCTGCCACCTGATGACAAGAGCAGCTCCTGAGGCAATGAAAACCCATCAGGAGGGAAATACCCTTGGGCCAACACTACAGACAGGCAGGAAAAGCCCCAGAGGTGTGTCTGGAATTGCACATGGACTCCTGGATTTGGTTACAGCAAGGCACAGCTAATCTCTCAAAAAACAGCTACACCAATGCTTTGCCTGTGTGGCCACAGACTCCCAGGAACAGGCAGATGCCATCAGTGCCTGTTTGGGATCCAATCCCCTGACCCTGCTCGCTATTTGACCCCTCGGTTTTGAAGTCTTGCAAGAAATCCCTTTCTCTGGAGCCTATGTATAGTCAACATCTGGCAGGGGAGGTTGTTCCTAGAACATTTCTGGACTAAAGTGCTGTGCTGTGATAGCCAAACAATACGTGGATCTGGAAAGAAAAGCCTAAGGAGGTAAGATGGTGTTTATTCATCCTCCAAAATAGATGTATTTAGGTTGTCCTGCTCTCACTGAGGTATCTATCAAGGCATTGTTCCTTTTGCCAGGCAAAGGCTGTAGGCTGTAGTGATGGGGCAGCCAGGCTCCTCAGGAGCTGGGAGCAGGAGTGGTGGGGACAGCTGGGAAGTGCTGCAGCTGGCCAGCGTTAGCCTAATGCCCCTGTCAACTTTTTGTAGCTCAGGGTAAGTCCTCTGCTTTTCCAGGAGGGTAACTGGAGGTGGGTGAGAAGCACTTTAGCTTTCTCTGCAGACTCACAGAAGGAGTGCCAGGAGGGAAATACTGGGGAGTCCGAGCACTAAGCCAATTTAAGGCCTCTGAGCAGGGGTTCTGTGCTGGTTTAACTAGATTTCAGTCAGTAAAATTCCAATTTCTTTTTGGGGAGGAGGTGGTGGTATCATTCCAGTGAAGGTTTAGGACACAGTGAGTATTTCAACAGTTGTCAGCCAAATGTTCCTTGTGTTTGGTCTCCAGCTTTGCCTTACCACACTTTCTAACCTGGATGCTCCTTTCATGCCTGGTTCCCTTATTTAATGGAAGTCACCAAATGGAAGAATTTAAGTTTATGCACCTATTTTACAGGCGGAGGGGGCTGATCTAACACAATTGTTTAAGTTTCTAAAGATTTTGGTCGGTCTATTTATGGTACCCAGGTAATTCACTCTCAATTACTAAATGCACTCTTATGATCTTTTTTTTACACAGATTTCATCTGATTCACTGTTGCTCCTATCTGATTGACTCTTGCTCCCATTTGAGTCACTATTGCTTCCACTAATCTGCTGCTGGAATGCGCAAATAGTCAATTAATTTAAGCAGGCACTAAGGCAATGGTTGCAGCAAGCCTGGTTATGTTCCACTAGTGAAATCACCCTGACAATTGTTGTTTTTTTCCCCTCTCGCTGTGTTGCTATTTGCCACAGACTCAGTGTAATTTATATTGCAACTGAATTACCCCCTTTTCCACAGCTCTATAAGGGGACTGTAAAATAACAGAATGTATTGGAATGGGCTGCCCAGGGATGTGGCGGAGTCACCATTCCCTGGAGGTTTTTAAGGAAAGACTGATGTCTAGTTGACACGGTGCTGTTGGGTCGTAGGTTGGACTCGATCATCTCACAGGTTTTTTCCAACCTATTTGATTCTATGATTCTGCTTACAAAAGGTGAGAAAATGGAGCCTGGGGACACATAACTCAGCCGGAAGACCTCAACTCCCCTGCGGCACTAGGAGACACCGCTCCCGCTGCCCCTGAGGGGGCGACCCAACATGGCGCCGCCCTCCCGGCGGCCAGCGGCCACCCCGCGCCGCCGCCACCGCCAAATCTCGCGAGAACCCCGCGGGCGCAGTGCCCGACCCTACCCGCGCTCTCGCGAGATCTCCTCTGGGGGAGGGAGGGAGGAGGAGGAGGGGAGGGAGAAGAAGGAGAGAAGGAGGAGGAGGAAGAAAAAGAAGGAGTCCGAAGGAGCCGCCGCTCCTGCCCGGGCCGGCGCCGGGGATGGTGTTGGCCGCGGCAGCCGGGCCCTGACGCCGCGCTCAGGTACGTGCGAGCCGTCCCCCTTCCCTCAGCCCTCCCCGCCCGGGCCTGGCCCCTCCCGGCGCCCCCACAATTCCCGGGGCGGTCCCGGCCCGCCGGGCCTCGGGGCCCACTTGTGTCCCCCGGCCCAGCTCTCCCGGCCCTCGGAACCCAGCCATCCCCCTGCCTCTGCGGAGGGGCTCCCGGGCCGCCGCTGCCTCCGCTCCCGGCGGAGCTGGAGAACTCCCGGGGCTCTCGCACCCTTCCCTATAAATAAGCACAGTCCCCCCTCCCTGGCCTGTCTCCCCGGGGTCTGCAGCGGGGAAGCTTTGCTTGAACTGTTGGGGACCTTCTTGCCGTGCTCCACTGGAATTTGGAGTGTAGTCGAAGCGAATGATTTCTTTTCCACAGTGATCACGCTTCTCTTGGGTTTCCCGGTTTTCCGGGACAAGCTATAAAGATATTTAGACATTTAATGCCCATCGGAGTTGATTTAATTTGGAATTGGCACCCAAAAGATGGGGGTTTTTTGGAGTGGAGAGGTTGCATGCAATTACAGGTTTATTTCTTTTCATGTAGAACGCCGTTCAGTACTTCCTAGACTCCCCTACTCCCTCTTTTGTTTTTAAATATATTTTGCACACACTTGTCAGCTTCAGAGAACTTGACCCCCTTGTAGATCTCACCAGAGTTTCATACTGTTAGGGACTGTTGTGAAATATATGTTACCCTTTTTTTAAGTCTTTTTGCTCACTTATCTATTATGTCTTTCTCAACCCCTAGGTAAGGATTATACCTTGACTTTTTGCAATTTTTCCCCTTTATTTGGTTGAATTAATTAATATGATTTAAAGGATAAACATTTCTCCTACCATTTTAGTGGTGGTGGGGCCTGAAGGGTTTAGATCTTGTCAGCATTATGTTGGTTTTGCCAAACTTAAGAAGAATAAGTTGCCTTCAACTAAGAATAGTTTCAAAATGTATTAAGCCATGACAGGCTGGATGTTTTGGTTTAATGACTTTGGCATTCTGTCTACCTTTTACTGTAATTATTTATCAGTGCAGTTATCTTCTGAGTGGCTGGGTAACACAGCAAAACTGTCTCTTCGTTTCAGTTATTGAGTCTCGCAACTTCTTGCACTGTGGAGAGTTCCTGTTGTGCAGCTGTGTGGATCATTGCACTGTTTGCAGCTTAAGTCTTTTTTTCTGTGTCCTGGGAGCTGCCTCAGAGCTCACTTCCCAGTGTTAGAGAATAGTTCCAGTGATCCCTCCCCTTTCTGTTTGTTATTTCTTATATTTTGGGCAGCTGAAAAGCGGCTCTGAACAGTGTCCTGGGAGGTGTGGATGAGGAGGCTGTAGCAGACTGTCTGGCAGGGGTATTTCCACAGCAGTTCTTACTAAGGAGCAGTGTCAAGCAGTGAAATTGCATTGTAAACGCTGACGTAAGCCTGACCTTTCTCCTGCAAAACTGAGCTTCCCCTTGGCCTAACAAACTGTAGCTCTTTCAGTATTCACAGCCCAAACAAATTCTTTCTCTGAGCCATCCTCATCTTTAATCACAGTTGTGTGAGCTGCGTGCAGCATATTCTGGGTTTGACTGCTGAGAATGTGATGGAAGTTCGTTCCTTATTCAACAACTGTGAGTTGTTTTCATGCTGCAGCCCCAGTGCTTCGTTTCTGGTGATGTGCTTTGCTCTCCCTTTGTGTTCCAGGTGGAAGCAGCAGGAATGCTAACACTGGCAAGCAAGCTGAAGCGGGATGATGGTGTCAGAGGACCCCGTGCATCCAACCCAGCGTCGGACTCTACTCGGAGGGTGTCTGTGCGAGATAAATTACTTGTTAAAGGTGAAAGGGACTTGTAGTTAAATATTTTGGGGTTTACAGTTTGTGCGTGTGTTGCCAGTAAATGACACTAAATTGCATATGAATTTCCAGAGGTATTTTTGAAATGGCTTGTGACTTAACCTCAGGATTACTGCTGTAGGATGTACATTGACACACATCTCATCTCCAGCAGCTCTTTGCCTGTAGGACACTTGTTTTCATTGAATAGTGAAAACCAAAACAAGCGTCCTCCTTACTCTGCTGAAAAATTAACCCATCATAAGGAACTCTGTCATCAATTAAAACATGATAAAAATTGCCACATGAGTGTCAATACACATATAGGAGGAGAATATCAACAATAGTATATTTGTCTTGATAGGAAGGTGTTTTTTTGAGCCTGTGACAGGAAAAAACATCGTAAGGGTAACAACAGTGTTCCAGTGGTCTTTAATGGTACAGGTCATAGGCAGCAAAGTTTAAAAAGCTTTAAAAAAGCAATGCAGGGAGATATTTTTGTGGGCCTAGAGTCTCTAGGAGTTGAGTATGAAGCTGTGAGTTAAAAAAATCCAGTGCTCGTTTTTGTATTGCAATAGGGTGTGTTCTAGGAAGGCTGCTGTAGGTTGTTACTGGTGGGGAAAAAAGCCCCAGACTTTCACTTTGTGGCAGTTCTGGATAAATGAGGTAGTTTGTGAGGCAATAATTAAACTGTTTTATAGTGAAATCAGGGGCAGCTCTTTTTTGTACTTAATTTTTTTTTCTGTAACGTAGATAATATTATAATTAAAAATCCGTAGGTGCTGACACTTTGCAGTTACTGTGGGCTTAAACTCAGATTTATTCCCTCTGGTAATAGTTGAGTGTTTTAATGCTTGAGCTGTGTAATGCTCTAGTGGCAAGGAGTATGTTGTTTAGGTGAATGTTTCTGCTAAAAATGATCAATAGCAA